AGATTAATTAATTACTTTCAGATGCACAAATCAATTAGGATCTTTTATTTAGAAGACGGTTCATTTCAGTCCACTTGAGATAAGCTTCAAGGAAAGTTTATTTATATAGTTTTTTCCATTCCATGTGCGGTAACGTGTGGCACAATTACTGGCTGCCATTATTGTATTTATTTCTGTTTTACACATGTGCGCGTGCGCCTGTTTTGAAGGGCTAATCAAGCGGGCCGTAGAACTTTTTATTAGAATTTCAGAAAATTTTCATATTTATGAATTACTCTGTGATTTGGTCAAATTAGGAGAGATTGTCTTTTAAAGTTTTTCTTTTGTGACTTTTATAATGTCCACTAATGTGCAGGTTTTCATAGGTACAACTATAGGTAATTATTTTTCAATTACCTACTTCTGATTTACAAGTGGAAATGGTTACTTGAAAAGAGTTATTAATAATTAACTTACAACGGCTACTGTCCGAAAACCAACTTTGAATAAACAGTAGTTTTATTGCTATATCTACTATTACATAGACATAGACTATGATGATTTTTGCATTAAAACTTTCATGAAAGTCTATTGGTTTAAAAGATTTTCCGCTTTTCATTTGCTTCTTTTTTATCTAGGAAACTGCAAAATTCTTTAGTAAGGATATTCAACTGAATAACTGACTAATGAACGGATGGACAAAGTATGGCTAATTAAAAACAACTAAGGCTGGGTTGCACCATCTTACTTTAGCTTTAACAAACGTCAAAAATCTATCAAACTCCATACAAAAACACCAGTTATCGTCAAAGTTAGGTGGTGCAACTCAGCCTAAGAATAATTATTAATAATTATGGTTTTCAGTTTTCATAGCAGCGGCCCGCGGTTGACAGCGCGCGGTGCGCACGAGTGTGTTAATTTCGTATACCACCGCGGTGTTCAGCGTCCCTCAAACTGCAACTTTCACTATTATTAACTATGCTTATGTTAATTGTAGTTTTTAAAAGGTTTGGCAGAGCCACCTTTACTAGTCTCTTTTCCGGTTGAATGTATTTAAAATTAACTAAAATCAGGAAAAAGTTGTGTAACATTAATCATTATAATTTAACTAGGTATATCAAAAAATTAAAATAACCGACAAACTCTACCAAACATCTACGCGTCATAATGAACTTTTCTGAATTCTCAATGGGTATTAATTACCGTTAAATCTGTAAAAAAAAATTAATGGATTTATGAATTTATTTTTCTAAAAGATAGCGTTTTATTGCCTTGGGGCTGATTTTTAATCCGTCGGAAAAATGTTAATTACAAAATAAAAAATCATTGTAAGTATTTCCAATACAGAAACTATCAGTATACTAAACTTAAACCGTAAATAAAAGATATCTGACGATTAAAAATTAACCCTTAAATTCTAATGTCCACCAACAACTATGAGTTCATAAATCAGGTAGAGTTTGAGAACCATCCTCCGAAGACAAGTGTAAGCATTTCGTCTTTGGCCCAGATCTAGCGAACAATACTGACGTAAATCATACTAAGCTCGCTAGATCATTAGCGGGCTGAAAAATTCAGACATTTGCAATTTAGGTCACTTTTTTGCTTGTGGTAAATATAGATTCCATTGATGATTCTTAGATTTTGGTAATGTGGATGGGGATTGATTGATTACGTTGTTATGGTTTCACTGTAGTATTTAAAGCACTAGGTAATGGCTAGAAATAAATAAAGATAGAATAGAAATAAAGTTTTTTAAATTGCAAAATCTTTTTTAAATAATTTTTTCAGTGACTGTTTCATCTGAAGGTAGGTTCGATTTAAAGCATGGTCTACCCGAAGGCCTAGAAGTTAAAATATTCAGTTGTCAAAGATATACTGAAAACCCCTATTGAAAAAAAATCTTTGGCTATTTCATCTGATGTTACGGTATAGAAAACTTTCACCAGAGGCCTTCAGTTACTAATAGGCTGCCTTCATTACTGCAAATCGATTCCTGTACCTAATATTACATCCTTAGTAACATTATGCCATTCATCATCATCATCATCATCATTTCAGCCACAGGACGTCCACTGCTGAACATAGACCTCCCCAATGATTTCCATAGGTTGGTAGCGGCCTTCATCCAGCTACCTTTATGAGGTCGTGGGTCCACCTTGTGGGTGGACGTCCCATTTCTGGTTCTGGCGTGAAATATGTGCACAAATTTTATCCTAAAAAAAAATACTACCTAACCTACTTTTTTTATCCACAACGAGTAAACCTACAAGTTACTTTAGTTTTCATAAAGACGGTTAATTTGCCATTTAAATTGAAAGTACATCATTTGCATACTAAACCGCATGCTGAGCTAGTCTAGCACCGCACACATGTCACCCATAAGTGCAGTGCAGTGCAACAAAACCGCGCTTGCGCATATCATCCTTTTGTAAATAAAGGTTCGCTGAAAAACAATAAGTGCAGGATATCGTTGTTTACAAAAAGAGCGCGTAAAAGAGTAAGTTGTTATTTTAAAGATGGCCGTTGCTTTGGCTCGTGTTATTGACCGGGTCTAAATTAATTAATATGTACTTAATAATTAATTAGGTATGACAATGACACTCTTCGGTGTAATTGATTTTAAGTAGATACGTAAGGGACAAAAAAGAAGTCTTGTGTTGAAACCTTGTTGTTGTTTCATGAAAAAATAGCACGAAAATTGAGTATTTTTCAGTAGAGTTCAGTTCAAGGCTGAAACTGATAGAATGCATTTTTGGTAGAGCAGGTGTATTAAGAACTATAGCGGCCGACCGCGCCGCGACCCCGTATTACCCTCTTGGGAATGGAGTTTCGTAAAATCCGTTCTAAACCATAATAAGAAATCTACCTGCCAAATTCCAAGTTTTGTAGGTGTTATAGTTTCTGATAATGATTAGGAATCACTGAAAGAAATCACAAGGCTGCTGAAATTTTAGGAACTCTACTACGAGTATATCGTAAAGATAGATAAGCCTATTCAGTGTAACGTTTTCAGTAACTCTACGTTAGGTATACTTCAGTGCAAGATCCTGTCCTTTGGATCTTCGGATTCAATTTATTTACGTCCAATTTCCTTGGAAAACACACGTGTACCCGATAATCTTATTTACCAATAAATAGGATAATGCCCTGAGATAACGACAATGTGCACGCGCATCTATTGAGGTCGCGATCTCCAACTTTGTTGGTTTACAAATCTGTGATAAGATGTTTGTATGCGATTTGATGGCCGTTTGGCGTACCTAAGTGCGCGGGTAAGTAAAGCTAGTCATAGATTCAAATCTCGACAGTACAGACAATCAAAATTTTCTGTATTATATTATGTGTAAACTAGCATTCATTTGTCCTTACAGATAGATCTTGTGTACACATAGATCCTAGCTACACAGGAGTTGCAGCGGTGGGAACGAAAGGTGGGAATAGTCCCGTACTCGCATCGATCCATGGCTTCGTCCATGTGAACATGTTTATGTTGTGCTATTCTGTAAGTACAATATACAAAATTGTAAAATTTAATCTAAATCTGCCCTTTAGATTTTGGGCGAGTATCAAACTTCCACAAACTACGATTACATTCATGAGGAAGTGTTGAAGTAGGTAAGTATATATTTAATTTATAACCAAGTGCACCTATGGTCAGCAATGAACGTCTTACGGCTGTTAATGATGATAATGAAGTGCCAACCTTACTGTAAGATGTCAGTTAAATGCTGTCCTGAGGCCGTTGAGCGACTTAACACCATGAATCAATCCTAAGAATGCAACGAAATAAAATTATGGTCGGAGTAGTCATCATCATCATCATTTCAGCCATAGGACGTCCACTGCTGAACATAGGCCTCCCTTAATGCTTTCCACGTTGATCGATTGGTAGCGGCCTGCGTCCAGCGCTTCGCTTCGGAGTAGTCACCTATCCCTTAACCACCGCACATTAGGTTGCATTATCTAATTAGTACAAAGAGGATGATATCACAGAGTACACCTTACACAAACAAAACTTTTTTTCAGTCAAAATCTAAAAAAACTATTCCCAACTTTATTCTCTCATCTTGTCGTTGAAATTTATTTTCTAACACATCAAAGTAGTCACTAAAAATACACACAAAAACTTGTAGAAAGCACTTGCTGTGTGTAAAAACTCATACTTCGTTAAACCCGTCTTCGACTAAAAAAGATGCGCCCGAGTCGATTTCGTAGATGAGCAGGATTTTTTTCGTTTCGGTAAGTGCTGCAACGGTAGCACGATTATTACAGATGCTTGAGTTGGTAGCGATTAATGTACTAATTACAGAGATAAAAAATTGTGAATTAGGTACAATATTGAACCTGTTTGAACAATAGCGATTTGAAAAACCTGCGGCATTTTTTTTGGATTCACTGGTAGGAAATAGTTTCTTTTGAAAGCAGGCAGTGGTAGCTAAAAGTTTCTAAATGCCGATTTTTGTCAATAAAGAAATATTTCCTATCGATAAAACTGCCGATTCCATTCTATCTATTCCATTAATATTATTTTCCTTTTTATTAATAGGTCGTAGGTACACTAAACAAGATGCTATATTTACCTATCAACGAGTAATTCTAAAGATTTTTTCGAAAACCATAAATTATAATCTTGTGACTATTTACTAAAACGGCAGAATAAGCTCTAGAAAATTTTATGAGCACATTTTTTACTGAAAACATCTTAAAATGAGGCCAAACTCCAATTTGGGCAACTTAGAAACCATTTTGGGTTCTTACTAGAAATTAAAATGACAAATGAATCTATAAAACTTGCTTTAAAGGATTACTTATGGCGCCAAAGAGCCGTAAACACCACACCTTACTAAATTATCAACAGCTGTAACTGCTGAGCTTTAAGCCCTTAGTTTTAAGGGCGATAATAAAGCATGGGAAGTGCAAAACTATTTTGGTGGTGTGTTAGCACCATGTGTTACGGGTTTCAGTATTTTTTTCGCTATCCCCAGTTTATCCCTTCAGTTATTCCTGATGCTGTCTCTACAGAGTGCGGTTGTGGTTCCATTTTCAAATTTGACAGTTCGCGCCAAAACTTGTGACGTTTGATTGTGATAACTTTTGACGTTTTGTTTTTTATTGGTGAGTAGATTTTTATTAATAGACTAATAATATGATCTCTTTTTTATTACTTTTTATTTTTAAAATTTGTCAAAAATGAACTTAGCGGGAAAATAGTTGGCTGTAATTTTGACATAATTCTTAAAAACTTTGGTTGAAACTTAAAATAATTCAAATGATTTTAAAATAGTGAGATTAATGTTTAGTTACATTTGTTATAATTGATAAGAAACCTTAATCATTATTAAGTCGCTTTCACCATTTTCAATGTATTCTTTACTTATTGTGTTGATTAAAACACCTGTAAACAAGACCGAGACTTTAAAATATTATCTCATACGATTATGAAAATTAATTATAGGGATTCGTTTAGTTTATTTTGTTTTCATAAAGATAAAGGTTTTTTAAATATTATCTGGTCTTAAAAATATGGATCTAGTAATTAGAGTGACTAGCTTTTTTTTAATGAAACGCGTTTATTATTGTAAAGGGTTTAAAGTTTTCAGTCTAAATTATGTCAGTGTTAGTAAATTTTTTTTAAACAATTTTTAATCCGTTATCGACTTTCATTACTTTAATTCTAGGTTTTTTCAAATATTATCTGGTCTTAAAAACTTGGATGTAGAAATTAAAGTGACTTGCTTTTTAATGGTTTTAATAAAACGCGTTTATTACTGTAAAGCTTTTAAAGTTTTCAGTCTGAATTTATTTCAGTGTTAGTAAAAATTTTTTTAAACAATTTTCAATCCCTTATTGATTTTCATTACTTTTATTAATAATTTATTTTTCCACTTTACGTGTTTAAGTACTTAATAATTTCTAATTAGACCATGTCATTACTTCTTATTGAATGTATTTTTATTAAAGTTTAAAGAAAACCTCTAAGAAACTTTATTTGAAGTTAACAATAATTTTAGTGTGCCTATAAATAAGTAAGAGAAGTACATTAATATTATGTTAAAATAAAACCTTATCTGTCTGATCGTATAACGATAATAAAAAATCGCAATATGTGGCACTTACAAATAATTCCCTAGGCCATCAACCTCACATTCATCTACCTAAACAACATCCTTCCAATCATCTACAAAACGTTGAACTCTACCACATTAATTACTCCAAAAGCAATTAATTAACCATCCAACTGTTTTCCTGCAAGTTTTTTGCAACAAAAAACACTTCCTTAGTTCCTTTAACATCGAGATGGCAACAGAACACGTGTGCTAACTTGTAATAATATGTAATAATTAAATTTATAATTCGCAGATGCTCAGGCCACGCGTTACGGGACGAAGAGAAAGTTTATTATTATAATAATAGCAAAACCACATGTGCAAACCGCCATATGTACACCTCTTAGACTACAGAACCTTAGGTAAATGAACTTAGCAACATGGCTGACTATGATATCATGCCGTGTTACGACGAAGACGAGTTGTTCCAAGACAGAAATGACAGCGTCACAGACCTTCACGCGTATTACATGAGTCAATTCAACCTAGAATTAGAACATGGAAATAAGAAAAAAGACACTTTTAAATATGGCGTCGAAGAGAGCTTCGATTTTGAAGTCTTAGATAATTGGAACACCAACAATGTTAATGACTTTGGAGGTATGAACAATGCAATTGAAAGTAGTATAAACGAACAGAATATTAAAGAGGTGCTGCTAGATCTAGACAGCATTGAGTTTGAAGAAAAAGATATCTCAGTAGATACCAAAGTGACGGAGCACAAACAATTCAAAACAAATGACTACATAGACGACGAGTCGCTAATTGATGAGCTTTGTAGAGAAGAAGGCGAAACGTGCCGATTAACACCTGAAGGCTTCAACGAAGAATACCTGTCTACAGCTACTAATGAAAAGAACCTATTGCCTTCAATAGAAACAGTATTTTCCAAAAGATATTGTTACAACACTACAGAAGATCAATCGCACAATTATACCAATGTAAACGAGACGGTCCTTCCAAACAACGAAGTAGTAATAGAAAATCTAGATCACTACAGCTATCCAAATAACATACTGTACAATTTGGATGCTGAGAAGCAGTACATTTTACCTGATACCCCTACCAGTTGTACAGAATTTAATTTTGAAGCTGGTAATCGGAAAGTATCAGTATCAGAATCTATTGAGAGTGATGTACAGAGTTCGAGTTATTATGACGAAAATTCCGAAACCTTTGACGAGGAAGATCTTTTCATTAATTTAGATGATTTCGGTCTACATTTCGAGAATGAAAATGAAGAATATCAGTCGGGGAAGGCGCAGAATGAAGCGAAAGCAGAAAAGGAAAACATTCAAGGTATAAACTAACATTTTGTTTTTTAATTTTGCTAATTAAGTAATGTCAAAAGCCCCATACACGTGCCGTAGCAATGCAACTTTCCTCCAATCAGTTTCAGAAACTGTAACTTTATTAATAGCTTTTAGATAAAATGTATTTTATTATTGTTTTAGGTGAAAAAGTATGTTTATGGGAACACTGTTACGAGCGGTACCCGAATCAAAACACCTTGGTGGAGCACATAGAGCGAGCCCATGTCAACAGCTACAAAGGTAAGAAATCCCTCATTTAGATACTTTTTCAGATTTTCAAGTTTAGCGTTCCTTTTAAAATTAAGACGGGTCTCAAAGGTGACATTGTTATTATGTACTAGTACACGAGTACTTTCGTTACAGATCTTTTTCAGGCATTTAATGTAAACTAAAAACAACCGAACTGAAATACCTAGCTACCCCTAGTAATGGCTTTCAGCTGCTTCAAGTAGCAAAGTAAATTAGCTTGTACAAAAAAGACGTACTTAGCGATGAACACTACCTTAGGCTTAGCTTTGAAACACGTCACACATTTATGTACTATTTTGTTTACTAGTTGCTTGCCGTGCCCAGGTCAATATTGCTCACGTATGGATGACAATAATAATTTATTAAAGTCAACAACTATCAACTCTGTAAGTGGGTGGTGACGTAGTAGTATTATGGGGTGTTTCTTATCGTAGTTGTAGTTAGACTGGCCTAAACAACCTAAGACTGGCCTAAGAGTATGGGGACGCATAACCCCCTCGTCTACATATAAAGGGATTCAAGGATGTGATCGCCAATTGTACCTGTCACGTAAATTACTTTATGTAGAATTCTTAATTAGACCGACTCACCCTTTTGAAAATGCGACTGCTTCTTTATCAAGTAATCTAACTTCTGTTTTCTTCTTCCAGGCGACGAATTCAGCTGCCTCTGGCGAGAGTGCGCGCGCGCACGCCGCCCGTTCAACGCGCGCTACAAGCTGCTCATACACATGCGCGTCCACTCCGGACACAAGCCTAACCGGTGCCATGTAAGTTATCATCATCACCAGGTCATATCTCCCTTACTGGAACACGATCTTTTAACCATAGGCAAGTGGAGGTTTTAGCTAGACGGGATGGGAAAACCTGATATGGGCACATTTTCCACTTAGTTAGTGCCTCTTACGACATCCACGGATCACAGGAGTTGCAGCGGGGGGAACGAGAGATGGGAATAGTCCCATTCATCCACGGTCCATGGTTTATGGTCCCCATCGGACCCAGATTAAATTTGACGTATTAGATGTTATTATGACACTTCCCTTACTAGACTAGAATGATTCTTCTTACTATTTGGGATGTTATGTGACGTATTTGTAACTTACAATTTTTAGACATTTTTGGATATGTAGTTCCATGTGAGCGCCAAATCCTTGAGACAAGGTTTTGCCCGATCTTTAGAACCTTTTTAGTTGTAATAACTATGTACTTAAAAACAATCTAACTTACCCCATTTTCACCAGCACCCTGGTTGCGGCAAGGCGTTCTCCCGGTTGGAGAACCTGAAGATTCACATCAGGTCGCACACCGGCGAGAGACCCTACACCTGCCCAGCACCTCACTGTAGGAAGGCTTTCTCCAACTCCTCGGATAGAGCTAAGCACCAAAGGACTCATTTCAATGCGGTAAGCAGTAGCATTAGCACAGTACCTAATAGAGTTACCTGAAGATCCACAACAGTGTTCTTACCATGCTAGCGGCTGCGTAAAAAAAGACATTTAAATGTATGACAGATTGAACTGCGCCGCTAACGGCTACTATCAAGAACTAAAATCTTCATAGATTATTTGACGCACTCTCTACCGAGCTCACCTAACGTAAACTCATGGTAAGCACATAAGACGCGCGTTTCGGTTACGAGTTCTGGGCCAAAGTTGACCCCTAGGGCTTTAGCCCTAGGGGTCAACTTTGGCCCAGAACTTTAGTACAAAATACAGATTTGTACTTTAGTACAAAATACAGATTTTTAGTTGGCCGTATGAAAGTGCGCACATTACACCGATTTGATATCGGGCGATTCTTCAAATCTTCATACAAATTTGAAGCCGACCCAACTATCGACTGAAAAAGTCTGTAGTATGAGGGGTGTCTTCAGTAAGAAGTAGACAGAAAAAAGGTCACTCAATCCTCCCTTCTATTTCAGAGGCCGTACGCCTGCGGTGCTCCTGGCTGCGGCAAGAGGTACACGGATCCCTCTTCCCTCAGGAAGCACGTCAAATCCCACCCTCACATCGCCAACGCACCCAGAACCTGCATAGCACCCTCCAGACCCATGAGGAGACCAGACCATGAACAGCTGGTGCCCAGCTCGCCAGCCAAACTGGCGACTTTAAGGTGTATACGGGATAAACTTACTGTGCCAAAGATGCACAGGATGTAGAGACAACTATGTAAAGACAGCTGGTTCAACAGTAGCATTCTTAGTATTGAACGACAGCTCGTTCAAAAGTAATTTCTTTAAATGGGCCCTGTATCAAAATTGATTGGGCCCTTTCTACTTGAAGAGGCCATCGAGGATCAAGACATTCAAGACCCATTTCATCTTAAAAAAACGTCATTGCAAAATTTTGTTTTTTGAGCAAACGTTACTCCTTCCATCGCGGGACCTTGGTTAATTTCTTAAAAAACCTAGGACTAAATTCTGTTTAATGGTTTATCCGGGGTGCTGAAGTCCGGGAGCTCCGTATCATTGATACGGCTTATACGGCGGTAGCTACGCCCCTGTCGTTCAAGGTAAACAGTTTCCAGGGTCCAATGTCCAAGGTTCCAAACCATCATAAGGTTCAATGCCAGTTTAACTTTCCCCCGGGACAAACTTGGCCTTCACCGGTTGGGTTTTTATTGGCGGTCAAGTTGTAGATCCTGGCTACACATGAGTAACTTGCAGTGGTAGGAACGAGAGGTGGATATAGTCCCGACCAAACTGTAGATCCTGGATTTTTGGGTACTCAACTAAAAATGAAACAAATTGTGTTATTTCAGTCTGAAATTGTTTAACAAAGTTGTTTTTCACTTTCACGCATAGATATTAATAAGGTTTATTAGTTAAGTTAAAAAGTAAAGCTCAATTTATAGACTGAAATCTAAATTGGCTCAACTAAATATACGAAATTTGATTTGTGTTGAAAACACAATATTACGTTCTATTGTTTTTTAAATATTATAAGATTTTACATCTAAGTTAAAGTTATTGTGTATATTTTATTTATAACGTTTTTTTTAATTGTGCTCATTTCTAGACATTATAGAAAGGCTTGTGTCTGACACAGATCTCGATTAAAAAGACATTTAGGTTTTTAGTACTTAATTAGGATTTTAAAAACTTCTCTACCTAAACGTAGTATTAGAACAATAAAAATATACATGTACTTATATTGTACATAAGTTATGCATGTGTAGGAATACAAATTGTCTATTTATTAATTTAAAAAATAGGATACTGCTAGATACAGTCAGCGTGAAATAGTTCGTGGCACCCAAAGTAGCCAATGTTCGCTAATTACACGTCTTTGTTACAATAAAATAAATAAATAAATATCCTTGAACATTTTACACTACGCTTCTAGTCCCAAACTAAGCAAAGCTTGTACTATGGGTACTAGAAAACGGATATAAACATACTTAAATACTTTTTTTTTGTAAATACATATATATTATACATATTAACACCCAGACCTGTCACAGAAATTAAAATTCATAATTTCAATTTCTGCCCGGCCGGGAATCTAACCCGGGAGCTCTCGGTATAGTAGTCCGTTTCTGAACCACTACACACCAAACGGCCGACAATGTTCGCAACACGTCTTTGTTACAATTGGAATAAGTTCGTGTTGTCAACTTTTTGGCCACTTTGGATATGACGAACTATACGGGGCTGACTGTACCTAAATAAAATTTTATTTAGGTAAGACTAAGTCGTTTTTAAATAGAATAAGATATTCTTCCACTGTGCACCTATATTTGCTCAATTATTTAAGGACCATGTCAATTTTAGTGACTAATTTTAGTTTTAATTTAGTCTTAGTTGCAAAATTCTCATCGTACGATGAGTATGTACAAACAGCTCGCTTTCCAAAGAATCTCCTATATTTTAAGATTGTTCCATATTAGATCTCTTAAATAGGAGTGCCTGGTTTTAGGCAATTAGTTTAGGCAGTTACTGTCGTTAAAATTTAATTTCCAGTTAAGATGCTCAATTTTAATTGATATTATAGTTTATTGAACAAAAAATGTGTTTTTACTTTTACCTCATTCCTGTCACCAAAGGCGCTGCATGCAGGCCGCCACCAACCCGCCCGTGGAAATCATTGGGGGAGGCCTATGTTCAGCAGTGGACGTCCTATGGCTGAAATGATGATGATGATGATGATGAAAATAAGTTTCAATGGATTTTGGATCGTTCCTTTTATAGTCGACATAATATTTTTGTTGCAAAATAGTACCTCCGCCTCTGTGGTCTAGTGGTAAGACCACCTGCTTCAGACGCAGAGGTCCCGGGTTCGATTCCCAGTGGGGGCAGATTTTTCTGTTCGGTTTGGTAGGGCTATTTCTAAGTCCGCCTGGCTAGCTACCACCATCTTACCTAAGTCTGTCGCCATAACAACAATGTTAACAGCATTGTTGTGTTCCGGCAGTTAGAGGTAAGATAGCCAGTTCCTCCGTGGTTGAGGATTCCGAGTGAAGCTCGCTTCCACCTTCGGCCTGGTCATCACTTACCATCAGGTGAAATACAGGCCAAGTCAAGAGCTCGTTGTGGATAAAAAAATATTTAAAAAACACTAACTAAGTATGTATTACTACTAAGATTACCTTTACTTCATTGTTTAGCAGGTAAGTAAGTTTGTTATGGACGTCACTGCGTCATAGCATCATCGTTTAAAGTTTTCCGGAAAATTTCACCTTGATATCGTCAACAAACTCGCTATCCGTAAATAACTAAATACGTATCATCAGTCCATCGAATACAATGTTGCTATCTAAGGTCAGAGTTGGTTCCTAGACCCTAGACTCGTGTAACAGCTCCATATAAAAGGGGTGCTCCGTCGGCCATCTTCAGAAGTGACCTTCTCGTACTACCACTCGCAGCTACCAGAGTGGCATTATGAAGATCTTGGTGTTGGCTACGTTGATCGGTAAGTACACACTAATAATATTAAAGTTAAAAGTTTGTTTATGAATCGCGAGCTGTCGCGGGTAAAAGCTAGTGTTTTTATTGCACAAAAGGCGGACTTAGTGCTATATCTGTCCAGTCTGATGTCTATAATAATAAATAATAAATATCCTTGGAAATTTTACACTGCGCTTCTAGTCCCAACCTAAGCAAAGCTTGTAATATGGGTACCTACTAGACAACGGATATAAACATAGTTACTTAAATACTTTTTTTTTTGTAAATACATACATAGAAAACACCCAGTCCAATAAAACAAATATGTTCATGCACACAAAAATGTTTGTACTGTGCGGAAATCGAACCCGCTACCTCCGGAATAGTAGTCCGTTTCGAACCACTTCACCAAACGGCCGATAATAAGATACTCAATGTGATATTAAATTTATGTGTTTGTGGCTAGCTAAACCGAGGGAAAAAGTTAATTCTATACAATCGCACGAAAGGCAGGCTTAGTGCTGTTATCTGTCGAATGAGGCTGACAAATTTTTTTTAGCCTGTTTTAGTAGTTTGTGTACGTGTACATCCTTTATTTGTGAGTTGAGTGAATTTACTTAATTTCCCAGTTCTTGAAAACGAAATTAATATAGTAAAAAATATTGAAATTTACGTTAATATTTCAATATTTTTCTTATCATTTTAGGGGAAAACTACTTGGGTTTACAAAGCCATCTAAAATCATTAGGGTAAATAACTTCCTAATACTTAATTAATATTTGTGTTAATTTAATTTCCAGCGGCCGTAACATCGGGCCGCCTCAGCAGCTCGGACGTCGAGGCCCTGAAGCAGGGACCATGGCGCGTGGGCACCGTCTACCGCTATGACGTGGAGGCCTACACCCTGGCGCGCTTGCCCGAAGGCCCCAGCACCGGCGGCGCCCTCAAAGCCCGCTTCGTCGTCCGCGCCCACGCCCCCGGCCGCCTCCTGGCGCGCCTCGAGAACCCACAGCACGCCACCGTCCACCAAGAACTTCCCGGAAACAGGCAACTGCCTTCCGACCTCAAGTACCAACCCGTCGACAAACTCGACCAGCCCTTCGAGATCAACATAAACGGGGGACGCATCAAGTCTCTCAACCTCCCCTCCGATCTCCCTCTCGCAAAGGAGAACCTCCTCAAGGGTCTCATCAGCGCTCTCCAGCTCGACCTCTCCACCTACAGACATGTCCGCAGGCCCGAGACCGGCTACGACAAGAAAACCGAGCAGGGTCACTTCAGGAAGATGGAGACTGACGTCACCGGCGACTGTGAGACTCAATACGATGTCTACCCAGCCGTCCCCGAATGGCGCCGTGAGCTCCCCAAATTCATCAAAGACGAGGAACCCATCATGATCTCCAAGACCAAGGACTACGGACACTGCCATCACCGCGTCGCTTACCACTTCGGCGTTCCTGAAGGCTCTGAATGGTCTGGCGCTGCTCACAGGAACCACGAAGAGCAGTTCATCCGACGTGCGACCGTTTCTCGCATCCTATCCGGCAAACAAGGCCCTATCTACAAGTCTGAGACCACCAGCACCGTTCATGTTAACCCTCAAATGTATGGCAAGGACAAGGCCGAAGTACTCAGTTACGTCCAACTGTACCTAGTTTCCTACGAGAAAGACGTTGAAGCTGAATGGCAGAAACCAGAACACTACCGTGAAATCAACAACTTATTGTACTCCATCACTGACAAGCGTGTTATGATCACTGACCGTTCATCATCAGATGAATCTGCAGAAGACTACTTCAAAGCTGATGAGGTTTTTGAGGCTACTACTGAAAAGAAGATTAATCGCATGCGCCGGTCGGTGCATTCATCTGAGGAGAAAAAGGCAGCTAGCAGCTCCATGTCAGCTAGTTCCAGCGAAGGTTCGATCTTCATGAATGATAACGTTCCCGAAAACAACCAGCCCGCTTACGCTGCTCTATACATGATGCCTCAGACTCGCGCTGACAAGAAACAAAACCCAATGAACGCTCAAAAGCTCGCGCAAGAACTAGCCCAGCAACTGCAAAACCCTAACAACATGCCTAAGGCTGACTTCCTGACCAAGTTCAACATTCTCGTTCGCGTCATCGCGTCGATGAGCTGGGAACAGCTTAGCCTTACCAGCCGTGGCATTGAAGTCGCTAAATCCTCCAATAACAAAATTAAGGCCGATATGTGGATGGTCTACCGTGATGCAGTTGCGCAAGCTGGTACCATGCCCGCTTTCCAACAAATCAAGACCTG